CGGCAGAAGACAAAGAGGATTGGTTTGGACGAGCCACAATTGCTCTCACTAGAGCCATCCAGCATACGTACATTGTCTCCCCCGTTAATATAGCTAGGCTATTCAAATACCAGCCCCAAATTCAGTACCAAAGTCAATCCAATACCAAAAATATTATATTTGTTTTGTAAAATATAAAAATAATATTTCCAAATCCATATTTACTTTATAAAATAAAATTCAATTAATAAATATTATATTTATTATATAAAGCAAAGGTTAATATCACCAAATATAATATTTATAATATAAGATTCCCCAATATCCGACAGACCCAATAATGTAACCAGAAGCAATCCAATATCATAAAGAAAATAAATACCTATCACGCAAAATAAAGGACGACGTTACCAAGCATAATGTTTATTCCCCCAACAATTATAGCGACCACGGCCTCAAACGGGAACCAAATACATCACCAAAGCCAACCCAGTACCGCAAAACCAATACCTACCAACCTATCATGCAAAGTAGGAGCCGATATCGCCAAGTGGCACGCCTACCATGCCAACAGCCGCGTCCATGGTGTCAAATGGGAACAAAACGTACCAATAGAGCCAGCCAATACCGTGAGTACCATACCTACCATACAAAGTAGAGGTCGATATCGTCAAATATTTTATTTACCAGACAAAGTAAAAATCAATATTCCAAAATCAGCCCAATATCGTAAATACTATATCTACCACGCAAAATAAAAGTCGATACCAATATTACCAAGTATTATGCCTGTGTATATAAGTAAATTATATGTAAGCAAGGAAGTTATATGTAAATAAGTTATGTGTAAGTAAGTTGTATGTAAGTAAGTTGTATATAATCAAGTTATATTTAATCAAGTTATATGTAATCAAATTATGTAAGAGTGAGTTATATGTGGGGAAATCGTATGTAAGTTATATATAGACGAAATATATATAGACAAGTTGTATATAATCAAATTATATGGACAAGTTATTTCTAAATAAGTTATATGTAAGTAAGTTGTATGTAATCAGGTTATATATAAGTAAGTTATATATAAGTAAATTAAGTATAGGTAAATTATATGTAAGTAAATTATATATAAGCAAATTATATGCGAGTAAATTGTGTGTAAATAAGTTGTATGTAAATAAATTATTTGTAGAGGAAGGAAAACGAGGAGGTAAAAGAAGCGGAAATATACGGGAATATACAATCAGAAACAAGAATTTTACATAAATATATAAGAAAATATTAAAGTATTAAGATTTAATATTATTTTCCAAATATTTATATTATTTAGTATAATTTTAGCTATATTTTAAAAAATAATATATATTAATTAAATCGGCTTCAATTATTTACTTCATCTATATCACATTTATCTACACCATCTACATTATCTACACCACTTACATGATTTTAAATCACATCCTTTATCGAAGGAGGTTCAAAGGTCAAACCTCCGAATTGTGGACAAATATAGCAACAATTACAGGAAGAGAGAAGCAGGAAAAAGAAAATCAAAACGTCAAAAGGTACCAAAAAGTAGGAAAGTCGCGGAACCTTGTTTTTCCAGGGCTGAGAAGTCCGAAAAAGTGGAATGGTTAAAGCGGCGGGTGCAGAGCCATCTAACGAAACTTGAGAGGGGGAACACGAAAGGTAGGTAAGCAAGAAAGGAACCGAAGAAAAAATGAAGGGGAGAGGGGAGGGAAAAATACATAAAGT